ATTATTTATTATCATCGTCATAAATATAGGGAGCAAAATTATATATAACCAAAACAAAAAGGCAGAAGAAATTGGATTCCTTTATACGAGAGCTCATTGCTCACATTTATTTGTCCCCTTTAGCCATCTAATGGAGACAAATTAATTTTGGTACAGACTACCAAACTCATATACTCTTATATTTGAAGTAAGTTCTTTCTCTCTGATAAGGAATACAAATGTTATAACAATTTGTGGGATGTTATTGCAACTTCAAAATCCATCTTACCACTCATTGTGAAAACATAGATATAGACGATGAAGTGTACTTGTTATTGTATAGACTAACAAGATAAAGTTTATTTTTTCTATATATCTGTGATGTGTGCAGTTAGCAACTGTAGTACTGGAAACTCTGTACAAAGACGTCTTTAGGTGTTGTCAATTTCTTATAATCGCGTGTTGAAAATAAAGTCAATAAAGTAAGTTAGTTAAATTATGTGGCTTATACGTGTCGCGGAAATGAAAAAAAAAATGAAACTGAATATCATGTGATATGAGCTGGTAACAAGCACCAGGAGATCAGAAAGTAGTGAAAGATATTAAAGCTGGAAACATATTGTCGTATGTGAATTTGACATAACTAATGTTAGTCTGGGCCTATATGTTTTATAATACAGCACATATAAACTATCAGTAATAAGTAACTAACCTGACCAAGAGCATTTATTTCATTCGGGCTATAGACGATGGGTCTTTGGAAATGTGTTTTTATCGGAGTGTGCATGAGCTTTGGGTCGCTTTCGCCGTCCAAACGTCTGTCTTGGACGACGAATTTTTTAGGTGTTGTGATTCATCCAAAATCTTCTCTTAATTTTCTTGTTTAGTCAACATCAGGCATCAACTTCTGCTAATTCAAGAAATTTCTCATCACGGTCAATGCCCGCCATGATGTTTATTTGATTCTATTATTCTAATACGAAATGTCCGTGAGTCGCATCTTGTGACGTTCACAGATTGTGGTGTGCACATAAGGTGCAAAATGCTACTGGCAGGTGTGACTTGTGTGTGAGCAACTGATAATGTGTTTCCAGTGATAAGTTGTGTCACGCAACTATCATTTTTATTCTACTGATATGTAATTATATTTGAAATTTTATTGATCAGTTTAGAATGAACGATAGATGCAAAAGCTGCTTTCCATTGTTCTCCAGGAGCTGATACGGGCCGAGCGGCCGTCCTCACAGTGTGCCTACCTGATTTTAAATAATTGTATATGATGTAATTCACTCAGTCAAGCTAAGTTGAACTTCTATGCATTCATTACATCTTTTCACACATTTTATGGCATTATGCAAAGAATTTATACAACAATCTTTTGGATACATATGGGTTTTATAAACTGTGACTGTATATTTCTACTAAAGATAGTATTAGCTTGGCTGGATTGAAATATGTACTATTAAATTAGTCTGTACATTGAGGGTTGAAAATTTACTGTAGCTCACTTGTTTCAACAATGTTAAGTTTTGCAGTCTTGATCGTTGTATTGTTAACTTGACGATGTTACAACTGCATGTCCAAGTTGTTTCGCTTGTAAGAGCTTACGACTGGGGTCAGCGACATGCATTAAGTGTTCTTTAAAACAATATGTGCCTATAGTTGTTGGTTGATTAACATTTTCCAAAAATTAGTTGTGTGTAACTTTTAATCATACATAAACATGTTATTTTGGTTGTCAAAATTCCTTTGAACTTTAACTCCATTTTGATGATTGATATTTCTTATAAGCTAATTCTCACAAATTGTTGTGCAATACATATTTTTAATAAATTGGAATCTAAAGTGATCAAACATTTAAAATTATGTTCCTGGTGTCCATTTAAGAAAATATTAAATATTATTTATTTTATTTATTACATTATAAAGACTTATTAAAATTATTCCACTTCTAAGTTTATTGGCATTGTTCTAGGAGACTACAATATACTTTTTCTTTCCAATATACAAAGGAATTATAAAAGGAAAAAGAAAGAATGACTCTTTAGGTAAAGGTACTTAAATCAGCTTAACATTAAACTTTTTAAATGTTATATTTTTATACTGTAACGCACACTGTCATTTATTTTATAATATATATGAAAGGCGATTTGATGTTTGATAGAGGTAGCGTGTTGTATGACACTGCTCCTTTTTGCTTGAAAGAATATATCTCAGCTACCTCATTAGACTCAATATCAACAGCTTTTTCGCTAAGCGATTAAACTGAAAACCTCATTTTAAGAATAGTAACTCCTTGTGAATATAATCTCCTAGTAACAATTTCTAATAAAAGTGTTTTTAAGTAGCATCTAATTAATAATATATATAAACTTTTAATTTGCATAGGCTGTGCATAGCTCTCATTTCATTAAGCTGTTCTTTTATTAAACAAATTCAAGTTCCACTGAATAATTTCTAAAACATCATACCCTGTTTAGAGGTATAAAGGTTTAATTTAGAATGTAGAATATTGTAGTCCACTCCATACCTATTTTTTATGTTTTCAATTACAAATACAATTTGTGTTATTATTTGATACAAGTGTGTAATAGAAAGAACAGTATTTTTGATCCTTTGAAGTGCGAGTATTTTGTCACTTTGCCTATTAATTATAATTATAGATTGAATAAAAATTGTAAAATAATATAATAAAGAGAGAAATTTATTTTAACTGTAATATTATTGCGAAGCGAAAATGCTCATGTAAATAAAAAATGTAGTGTACAAAGTTCTAATATGTTAGAAATACAGGAAATTGCATATTTAAAACTTGCCATTTTGTTTTATAATTCCCACACCTTAATGATATTTCTTCACATTTATCATGGAATGTAATAGAATAGGGTAATTTTATACTATAGCAGTCCCCTCGTTTTTTGGCTCTAGAAAATCGAAAAATCATCCGATGTCGATGATTTTTTTTAAATCTTCGTATTACGGCGGATTTACGAAAAAAAAATTAAAACTTACATTGGCTTCAGGGCCTTTATTGTTCATGAAAAGCACTCATTCACGTATAATTGTTGATAACTTTTTTACAAATAATCGAATGAAGCTGTTATATTTTTTTCGTAATCTACACAAAAAAAACGAACATTTAAAAAAAACTGAAAAATGTTTGTTTATAATTTTTTATTTTGATGTTTTATTGAGTGTAAGATCGAGCGAAGTGAGCTCGGGACTTAGGACATCCCGACTCGGACAGGTTAGGTTAGAAGGAGATGGCGGGGTCGAGTGAATTACCTAGAATAGAACCAATTTTATTCAAATAGTATACAAGAAATTTGGTTTGGAAAATATCTCTGACCTGGAAAGAATTAGCAAGAAACCCCACGGGATTTTTTTTAACCAACGGGTAATAGTGACCAGCTTCAAACAATCCTAAACAATTATCTTAAAAAGCACATCTAAGAACACTAAAATACATAATAGAGACGAATCACACGAAGGAATCTTTTTCTAAATAAGCGCCACATTATCGATATTAAGTAGGTATAGTGCGCTCAGCTACTCAGTTTAGGTATACACGTTTTTTTCGTAGGTATGTCATGTCCTTTTTTTTCTCTAGTCAAAGCCCCATGCACGTGAAGTATCTAGGGTTGCTATAGTGAAACCTATTTTTAATACCCAATACTGCCAGGTTTTATAAAACGTCAACCAATCATGCCAAAGGCTAAAATAACTGGCGAATCCTGCCAAAATGGCAGGAACATATGGTCATACTGGCGCCAACGATTGTCGGTTTTCAGTTTTTTTTTTTCAACCAGTGATCTTTATATATACAACTATGAGTGGAGGTACGCCCTTAAATTGTGCAAACTCAACTCACCTAAATTTAGTGTGTTAACTCACTCCTGTGAAGCCTCATTTACATTCAGCCTTGCCACTGCCGCGCTGTCGTGCTGCTCGGGAAGTGTGTATTTACACTCTGCCCTACCACTCACAACACTTTCGGCTTTCGACTATGGCAGACGTCGAAATAATTACAGCGTCCGCGCTGTGTCTTCTTGCAATACAAAATTATGTTAATAATTTATCAGTTCAAAAGAAGATAGATAGATAAATAGAAAATTTATTTGCTTAAACATGGTACATAAGATATCAATGTGAATTGCGGTTGTTAAGTTTTTATTATATTTTAAAATTATTGCATTGCTTAACTCTGAGCCACACTTTTATATTTCGAATAATATAAACAAAAAATATATATGGCTGTATTAGTTAGGACCACTACATGTATAAAAAAAATAAAAAAATTGCTTCAGCCTTAAGGCTTTTGAGGAATGAGGTGGTTACCAGTACTAACCACCGTGGCTATAGAATAAAACATGTATGATGAATAAAGAACTTTATTTTTAGAATTATTTCCTTACTTCAACTATTTTTTGTGAAAATCAGCAAAGCAAGTTTTTTCTTCATGTAGGCAAAGAGGAACTTTACACATGCTACACTCCCAAACTGTGCGTACTGGATGAGATTTTGTACTGCACTTGCAGCAGCGCCTAGATGTGCCCTGTTGTGGTTGGTGCTGACTACTTTCTAAACGTATTTCATGGGGAAATGTTGGTTTGTGACGTTTTATTAGCACAAGAATCGAAGAATGCGCTGGAGAACTGATATTGGAACCGTAAGATCGCTTATTCACAAAAGTAAGGGGCAAGAATGCCCTGGTAGACAGAGCGGCGGAATTCCTTCATTGTCAGTCTTGACAGTCCCATATGATCAAGTTTTTGAAGATCTTTGTAAATAACAAAAGAATTTACCAACGCGCAGTCCAAGAAATGAAAGAATATTCTATGCCCCCATTTACGAGACTGAGTTGGTCAAACTTGTCTACAAAGTTCATATTTGCGTTGTAATCCTTTATAAGTTCAGGGCAAGCTATCTGGTTTGAGTCACCATTACGCTCTTTGCGAATAACAGTACTGACACTTCATGGGTCGTGATAGTTTGATAAAAGGTGGACTACCCTCTTATCTTTATATCATATTTTTGCACTTCATCACAGTAACATTTGTGTCACTGACTCGATAGTCATGTTCACCCCTTTCTAACTTAGTATCTTCTTTGAGTGTAGGTAAATCTTTTCTAGTAGCATTTACAGTACCACAAGCCAAGATTTTGTCGTTTAGTAAATCAATCTGCAATTTGTAACTGTTAAAATAATTATCAAAGTAGACTCTGTGATATTTGCCTTTGAGATCTGTACATAATCGCTTTACTATTGTCGCACCCAAATCTTTTTCTACATTGTGTTCTTGTTTGCCTGTATATAATTGAAAATCGAGACAGTAACCAGACTCAGCACACTTCATCCAAACTAGCCCCGTTTGATCGGTTTTTTCGGCATGTACTGCTTTAGAGAAGACCGTCCTTTAAATTTTATCATACTTTCGTCTACTGCAACTTTTTCTGAAGGCTTATAATTAGCGCGGAAGTTTCTTTGAATAATATTCAACAAAGGACGAATTTTTATACAATTTATCAAAGTTGGGACTCTGTTTAGAAGGAATCAAGCTATTATTGTTCAAATGAATATGATTCAAAAGCCACCCAAATCTGTTCAAAGGCATAAATTAGGAGATATAGCTATCATGTAGATCAGGTGCAGATGCCCAATAATCTTTGTAGCTTGGTAGCTTTTTAATACCCATAACCAAATTTAGAGCCAGAAACACATCAATCTCTTCAGGAGTAGTCGGTTTATAGTTTTACCAGTTTGAGCAGCGTATAAGTTGGTTTGAAAGCAGATTATTTCTAGCAAATTCTCTGTCCAAAACAAGCGAAAAAGTTGTAGAGGCGTTATATTTTCCATGCTTTGAATATGTTCAGGAATACCAGAAATCTCACAAAAAGTACCAGGCAGTTTTATAGTGTAGCTTTTTTTCCATTTCGGTGGCCGAAATGTCGAAGAAATATCATCACGTGGTTGAGAAGTAGAAGCAGAGGTAGTAGCGGTACTTACAAAATTAGCCAGAGGTATATCATCATCCGAGTCAAAGTTGTCATTGAATGTCTGCACAGCGACAGTGTCATTACCAAGGGTGAATTCGGGGGCTTGATCAATGTCTGGTTCTGAGCCACAGTCTGAATCCGACTCCACACAACTTTCAGGATCCGAAGGAATATCTTCTTGCAAGATATTTTGAATTTCTTTTTCTTGTAATGCGCGCTTCATCCTATAAAAAAAAACCAAATTGTAAATATCTAGCAAATTATATGTGTTAGTACTTGAATGTGGTGGTTACCTACACTAACCACCACATTCAAGTACTATTTTAGTAATGTTACGAATAATACTATAGTCAAATCTACAGACAAATGTAAACAGCAACACTTTCGACATATTTTAAAATAAGAATAACGTTGGAATAACGAAACTAATCTCCGTGAATTAAAACACTCGCGACCCATCAAATGTCAAGTTCGTAACTGTGACTGACAATCGATTCAACTGACACCTAACGATCATTTATAGAGGTCAGGGATATATCTGTCATATTCATTCATAAAGTTACCAAAAGGTGGCGTTATTTTTAGATTATCATAGGTAAAAGAGGTGGTTAGCGTTACTAACCACCTATGATGAGAGTTAAAAGTTAGGTACAAACATTCTTTTTGAATTCAAATATTATCCTATACCTTTAAACGAGCAATTCTTGTATATATATATATATATATATATATATATATATATATATATATATATATATATATATATATATATATATATATATATCGGAATCTCGGAAACGGCTCCAACGATTTTCATAAAATTTTGTGTGCAGGGAGTTTCGGGGGCAATAAATCGATCTAGCTAGGATTTATTTTTAGAAAATGTCTTTTTGTCCGTGTTTTTAGGCAATGAAAAACTGCTAAAATATCGTTAGAATAAGAAGGTAAATTTTTACAGTTTATTAAGCTTAATTGGTATATTGGGCGGTCACAAAATCGTAACGCCATGGTTCGAGCCCAGACCGGCCGACCGACTTCAAGTACCGGTGTTCCATCCGCTTTCAGAAGCTCCGCTGTAATTCCATCCTCGCCTGAGGCCCTGCCGTTTTTAAGGTGCTGGAGAGCCATTCTAATCTCGCTCAGATTGACGTCCGGGATATCATCGGAATAGTGTCGGCTAAGACTTGCTCTTGTATCGTTACTCACACTTGCGTGTGGCTCCAACGATGATGTGTACAGCTGCCCATAGAACCTCTCAATCTCACTCAAAATCTCAGGTGTCCCGGAAACGATGCTGCCACACTCAGTCTTCAGCTTTGACAGTTGGCTCTTTCTGGCAGACAGATCTCTGGCAAAGACTTTGGAGCCCTGGTTCCGCTCGATCGCTTCTTTAATACGAGCAGTATTAAAGTTGCGTAAGTCTTGCCGCATGCATTTGGAGATCTGTCTGTTCAGTTGCCTGTATGCTGTCAAATCTGTTGACGATTGCAGCCTCATCTCCCGTCTAACAGCCATGAGATTAAGAGTGTGATCGGAGAGTTTTTGTGTTCTTCTGCGGCTCTTAGCTCCGACCGCATGGACAGTTTCCACGAGCTTGGCATTCATATCGTCCACTGCATTGCAATCTTTTAGGCACTGAAAGCGGTTACGTAACTCGAGCTGAAAAGTCTCAGGATTCTGGATTAGAGCACGAGGGGGACGGAGCGTTGACTTCATTAGACGAGACCTCTCCAACTTAACGTTTAAGTTCAGTGTGCCTCTAACCATTCGGTGATCGCTGCCGGTTTTCACCCTTGCGATCACTGAGACATCACTGAACAGTTGGCGTCTGATCGTCATAATGAAGTCAATCTCATTTTTTGTCGAACCGTCGGGGCTCGACCAGGTCCACTTCCTGTGAGGCCGCTTCTGGAAGAAAGAGTTCCTCATAAAGAGTCCCTCTTTCTCCATAAAGTCTGCCAGCTGCTGGCCCCTACGGTTCCGTTGCCCTACTCCGAATTTCCCTAACTTCAGCTCACCGCCTTCTCTTGTGCCTAGTTTTGCGTTGAAGTCTCCCATCAACACCGTGTAGTGGGTTTTGAAGGAATGCATGGCTCTAGAAATATCCTCATACATTTCCTCCACCTCCTCATCGGGATGTGCCGAGGTTGGTGCGTAGACCTGTATGACCTTCAGCGAATACCGTTTGGTGATTCTAAGTATCAGATACGCGACCCTCGTCGACACACTACCAATCTTTACAACGTTGTTGACGAGGGACTTGTGGACGATAAATCCGACACCTCCTTGGGACAGATGGTCGCCCTCCCGATTATAGAACAAGTTGCCGGACTCGAGGATTACCGTGTCCTCCCCCTCTCTTCGGACCTCAGATAATCCAATAATATGCTAGCGCAACTTGTCTACCTCTTCTTCCAGCTCCAGTATCTTCTCGTCAGTCCTCAGGGTGCGTGCGTTATACGTTGCCAGGTCGAGTCGTCGTAGGTGGCAACCGAACCTCCACCGGAGATTCTTAGCACCCCCTGCCCCGCCGTTACCATGGTCGCCACCGTAGCCAGGAATAGCGGGGCCGCCGGGGACTGGGGGCCATTTATTTATGTCGTTGCTCATGGGGGGATATTTGCCATAGTTGCCACGCTTGGCGAGCGGGTTGGCAACCGCAGTTTTTTATTATGTTATTGTTATTATTAGGAAGATGCTGCTGCCCATCTCCTGCCTGTTTTTCGCCTCTTACGACACCCACGGGAAGATATGTGGTAGTGGATGTTCTCAACCGCCACTACACGGCTTAGAAGTTCCTTCAATATAGAAGTTACTATTTTCCAGTATGTCGTTTTCTTTTTTTTTAATTTAAAATTTACCATTATTTTACACTGTTTTTGTTCTATGACTTAAAAATATCATTTCGTAGGGTTTACTAAAAATAACACTTTAAATGATTTCATGGCAAATGATTTATCTAATATGATAATTTACAACCACATATATGTAAAAGATAAAAGTTTAATTTTGTAGCAAATAAATGTTACAATCCTAATTTTTAAACATGTAAAGTAAGATGAAATTGTGTATTGTTAGGAATGAAATTTAAGCATGAGCAAATTCATTAAATATTTAGAATATATAATAATATTGAATAAAGTTATCAATCAAAATCAAATCAAATCAATTGAATCACTTGATGTTTTTGTGTTTATGCCATCTAGCGACGATTGTACTTACCATCTTGAAAGTCAATAAATTTTAGCTCGATAAAATGACTTTATTATTTAAAGCATGTGGCAAATGGCGCTATTATAAATCTCAAATATAAAATTTTCGGTTCCCAATGGATCTCACAGACTCACTGAGTACTGGAGCCCGAAATGATCCATCTGAATGATCGAAATCGATCCGAATGTACCAGTGCACGTGACGAAATGTACTAGAATGATTCCGTCCCTAGAAATGAATAATTGACACATGTCTACCTCTGACCCTAGTTCACAAGCGCGTTATAGCTTCCGATAGATGACGATGTTACCATTCAGCTTATGTCGACGTAAAATACGACGACGTGTAGCAGCATAAAATAAGCGAGACATACTGGTGTCTGCCTGCAGTGTTCTGTTTTGGCGCACTGAGTTAAGTTAAATCATTTGGGCCGTATCACATTTCATGTGACCACCCAAATCCGATATTCTTCTGTAAATTATCAATTTATACTCACCAGTCTCGCCCTATTTCCAACTCACTTTATTTTTCTATCAAATTGATAAGTTTTTGGAACACGTTACCTTTCTTGGCAAATTACATAAAGATAAGGAAATATTTTATTTGTATTTTCTAAATATTGTTCTTTTTTTAATCCCTTCTATGCGGACTACGGAGCATGTAACATGTGCGATTCTGAGTTATGCGTTACGATTCTTAATGCCCCATTTACATTCAGCCCTATTGGGCAGGGAAGTGAGCAGGGCAGTGGGCAGGGCAGTATGCTCGTAAACTATTATATTAATATAAAATTTAGTTTAAAGAATTAATGAACATTGACATTTTATTTCTAACATTGACATTTTATTTCTAAAAACGATTAGCAACTCATATTGATTATTTATTTATTAAAATGTAAAATAAGTTAAATGGTAATATTTGCATAATAGCCTGAGATTTTTAAATTATAATTTTATAGTAATTAAAATTATGAATTAATTTATACTGTAGCGTAATTATTAAAATAATAATAGCTTAACTAATCTAATATACTATTTAATATTATTTATGTAACAATAATATAATAATTAAATTAATAATTTATGAACAATTTACTGTATAAGAATTCAATCAATACCTATGAAGAATTTGTTGCTTCCTGTCCAACTGATTTCTTCAAGAAAGGCATCAATAAACTGCCACCCCGTTTGGTAAAGATGCATCGATTGCATGAGTTTGATTACTCATATTATAATTACTGGTTTCGCGGAAAAAGAAACGGGTACTCTCACATTTTGTTTGGTTGGTTATTGTATGCCAGTATCTCATTCCTTCCTATCAACGCATTCCATTCCACACGCACTGAAAGGAGGGGAAGCTAAATTATGTGGCGCGATTTCGGTCGCCAATAAGAAGCTGCCCCGCCGAGATAGAAGTGGAAGAAGTGGCCTGCCCATATAAGGACACCCGCTGCCGCCACTTCTTCTTGCATCGTACTCTATGGCAGTCGCGCTAAAGAAGAACCGCTAGTAAAAACCACGTCGCGTGGTGCAATCTGTCGTCGTGCACCGCCCTCTTCTAAATCACCACACTACTAGGAGCGTTGTCCACAAGGCCGCCAGCAAAAGGAACCCCACCCTGGTAAGTGTTCCTTAATTTACATTGCGCCGTTTAATTTATTTGCCATATATTTCTCCCTTAACGACTCAACTAGAATTCCATCTCAGGACGCTGGCAAAATAGTATTTTCGAATAGCGTCTGCTGCCACGTGCCGCATCGGCCATCTCGTTTTGGTTGTGGGAAGCCGCGTATACATACAGTCCACCAAGAAAATCGATCCAGCGTAATAAGGTCGAGGCTCGTCCCGGGAATCGAACCCGGACCACAATCACCGCATTATTTTGGTCATTAGCGCGATCATTTTGGGTTCCTCCGAGCGAGATTCGAGTGAGGAGTGTGGTTCAACCATTTTTCTGGTCTTTCGAGGAGAATTTGGAACTGACGACCTGTGGCCTGATCGAGTCCAATTG